ACTAAAATTAGAAACATCTTGTCTAAAAATGATGCAGAAAAACTGGTCCATGCATTTGTCAAATCTAGACTGAACTATTGCAATGGTTTGTTATCTGGGTGTCCAAATACTTTGTTAAAAAGTTTTCATATGATCCAAAATGCTGCTGCCAGAGTCTTAACTAGAGTTAGTGGGAGAGATCATATCTCTCCAGTTTAAGCTTCTCTTCATTGTCTCCCTGGTAAATCCAGAATTGAACTCAAAATCTTACTTCTAACCCACAAAGCTCTCAATAACCTAGCTCCATATTATATTTGACATCTTATTGTTCCAGGCAGCATGGTGGCGCAACTGGTAGAGCTGCTGCCTCTCAGCGAGCAGGTCCTTGGTTCAAACCCCGGTCCAGGGGCCTTTCTGGGTGGAGTTTGCATGTTCTCTCCGTGCATGCGTGGGTTTTCTCCGGGTACTCCGGTTTCCTCCCACAGACCAAAAACATGCATGTTAGGCTGATTAGTAACTCTAAATTGTCTCTAGGTGTGAGTGAGAGAGTGAATGGTTGTTTGTCTCGTTTGTCTCTATGTGTCCCTGTGATGGACTTGCGACCCGTCCAGGGTGTACCCCGCCCCTCGCACAGTGATTGCTGGACATGGGCACCAGCGACTCCCGTGACCCAAAATGGAATAAACGGGTAAAGATAATGGATGGATGGATGGATCTTATTGTTCCATATTTTCTTAACGGAGCACTTCACTCTCAGACTGCAGGCTTACACGTGGTCCCTAGAGTTTCCAAAAGCAGAATGGGAGGAAGATCTTTCAGTTATCAGACTCATCTCTTGTGGAACCAACTTCCAGTTTCTGTCCGTGAGGCTGACACATTGTCCAGTTTTAAGACTTTCCTTTTTGATAAATCCTATAGTTAGGGTTTCTTGTTATGCTACTATAGGCTTAGACTATTAGAGGACAAACTGACCTCATTTTCTTAAATTAATTGTTAAAACTGAATAGTTTTCATTTAATACTATTTCTATCTTAATTCTTTTAATTTCTATCTTATTTCTGATTCTGATTCTGATTAACATGTGATTCTTGACCTGCCATTGTGTATCTGTTCCTACCAAAACCAGCCGGTCGAAGCAGATGGCCGCTTATCCTGAGCCTGGTTCTGCTAAAGGTTTCTTCCTCATGAGGGAGTTTATCCTTTCCTTCGTCACCTTCATGCTTGCTAAATATGAGAGTTCTGTGATGGAGTTAAATTTAAAGCAGTCTGCTCCTCAGGTAAATAGTGTTAAATTATAATTTTTTATATATGAATGTTTCTGTTCAATGACCTGAGATGACTTCTGTTGTGACTTGGTGCTATACACTGCCTGC